AAAAGGGATTTTTGCCTGGTTTCAAAGGATATGAGGTATCTCCTCAACCCTGACAAGGGCTTTCCCAGGGCCGGGGGGGGGGGGGGCGGGAAGGCCCAGCCTGGGCAAAGGCCTAGTGATGGGAATGTAGCAGGTCTGTTTGGGGCTGGTGTGTCAGGTGCCCGAAAAGGGACAGAAGGTGTGCTAGGTATTTGCTGGTAGATGAGGCCTTTCTAAAGAGGAAGGACAGGTAGTGGGCACCTGGGGAGCTCCCAGGGACTCGTAGTACAAATGGGGAAACTAAGGCTCAGAACATGTCAGGCAACGAATATGCGTGGAGCCAGGAATTGAACCCTCATCTGGCCAGGCCCACAGCCACAACCCTCTCAGCACATGGCCACAGTGGGCCCCTTAAGGACAAGACTGGGGGAGGCGAGGTCTGAGGGACGCCGCTGGGCCTCAGTTCCCCTATGGGTGCCAAAGGGACCTATGGACAAAGGACCATAAGGGGCTTTCTCCAACTGGAACATTCTCAGTTTCTGGGATTCAGAGCCACCTGTGGGTGACATACCACACCCCTAGACCCCCCACAGTTCCCAGGAACACCACGAAGATCCATACAGTCACCTGCCTCGTGCACCAATATAGCTTGTGACTCCCATGAAGCGTCCATATACGTCCCCCCACAGACGCTCACTTCCCACAGACTCCCCAGCCCCCATCTCTCCCCTGGAGCTGCTGACCACTCTTCCTCAAGAAGCCAGAAGGTTGGGCAATACCACCGCAGGTATGGGGGCCCTACGTGTGTCTGGCATCTATGGGAAATGGATGACAAGCATGCCTGTACTGGGGCGGCATGGTATGTTTGGGGGTGTCTGTGCATATTTGGGAGTCTGTGTGCACTTGGAGAACTGGAATGTGTTGTGGTCTCAGTGTGTGTGACTGGAGAGGTCTGTGTGTATTTGGGGGTCTGCATATACACGGTGATCTGGGTGTCTTTTGGGAATATGTGTGTTTGGATAGCTGTATGGGTTTGGGGGGGGTCTGCATTTATTATGGACTGCGTGCGTTTCGGGGGACTTTTGCATGGAGTGATCCACATGTGTTTGAAGGTGATATGTGTGTCCAGGAGATGTGTATATGTTTTATTTTTAATGTTTATTTTTTGAGAGAGTGTGAGCGGGGCAGGAGCAGAGAGAGAGGGGGACAGAGGATCCAAAGCGGGCTCTGCGCTGACAGCCGTGAGCCCAATGCCTGGTCCGAACTCACGAATGGTGAGATCATGACCTGAGCTGGTTGGGCACTCAACCGACTGAGCCACCCAGGCGCCCCCAGATCTGTATATGTTTTAAGCATCTGTGGATTTTGAGGGGCTCTGCATGTGTTTGGGGGTCTCCTTATGTATGGAATCTCCCTACGCTCATCTGTCCATTTGAGGAATGGGCTTTATCCCTGCGTCCCTGTTCCTCAGTCCTCCTGCCTGGATCTGCCTAGGACCCTTGCTCTAATCTGGGCACCTCCCAGGGCTGAGTAGAGATGACCGAAGGTCAGGGCCCAGTGACCAGAAAAGCTCCCCGGGCAGGGTAGGAGGGAAGGGCATGTATAGACCCCCTACTGTGAAGCCTTGTCCCCGAGCTCACTGGCTCTGACTCTCCCCATTTTCTGGTGGAGGAAACTGAGGCCCACAGAAGTTTGGCCACACCAGAGTCACTGCCAGAACCCACCTACCCTCAGGGACCACTGTGGGCTGAGCCAGCCTCTAGGTCACCCACAGAGGCCCCCCACTTGGGGCACCATCTCCCTAGGCCCCCAGGGTAGGAGGCGGACCCAGGGCCCCTGCTGGGGAGGGGAGGGTCGCTGGCAGCTGGGGTCAGAACTGCTTGAGCCCTCAAGAGATGGGGGGGGGGGTGTCCCGGATTTCCAAGGGGCTCTTCCTGTTGCCAGTAATGAGGTACTTGGGGAGCAGGTGATGAAACCACCGCCTGGGTTGCGTGAGGCGGGGCCGCAGGCCTGATTCGCTGCAGCCACCCAGGAGCAGCGCCCCCTCCCCGCTTCGCCGCGTCCCCGCGGGCCCTCACCGCCCCCGCCCCCCCCCGCCACCCACCTGCCTCTCACTTCTCCTTTCCTCCCCTCCTTTCCCGGTGCGGGTGCCCCACCAAGCCGTGGCCTCTGGGCTCAGGGGTCTGGCAGTGTGACTCGCCACTCGTCCCCTCGTTAAAGCCCCACTGGGAACCAAGAAGGGGAACTCGATGGACCCCCGAAAGGCCTTTGAGGTCAGAATTCTGTGACCCATTTTATGGGGGGAGGAAATGGGGGCTCGATGTCACCCAGCGTGTCACCGTGTGAGTGTTGCTGTGGTCTTGCAAGATGGCATGCTGACTCAGTGCCCCCCCGTTCCAAGGCCCGGCCGTTTTTCCTTCTGGCTTCTGGAAGGCCAGAAGATAAGGTCAGCAGAGCCATCCACCATCCGCTTCTCCCCAACTGGTGGCAGAAGGATTCTCACCCCCATTTACAGGTGAGAAAACTGAGCCCCCCGCTGGGGAGACTGCCACGGGTGAACCATCTGTGGGAGGGTGGCATTCTTCCTCAGCCCCATATCTCTATCACCAAAGTGCTAAATAATCTTGCCAGGCCTGGGAGGTGACAGTCTATGGCCCAAAGGACCCCAGAGGTGTTTGTTGATTGACTTAGTGACCACCAGGCACTCATGAAATCTTCCTTTGTCCTCTCCATTCCTCCCCTGCACAGTGCTCAGGCCTGGGACCCTGGGCTCCTCCCCCTCCCCCCACAAGCGTGCCACCAGTGCATCCTGGCCCTTTGATTGCCAAGCAATCCTTTCGCTTCTGCCCCCGTCCTAGTTCAGGCCTCATGTCTCCCACTGGACACCTGTCTGGGCCTTTCCTTGTCCTCCTTATTAGACGCTACTCCCCACAGCAGTCATGAGCAGGAGAAGCTTTAGAAAAAAAAAATCTTTTGGTTGAGATAAATCATAGAGAGAAAGATGCACCAATCATTGGAGTAGGGTTAATACATTGGCACAAACTAAACACGTCTGTGTACCCGGACTCTGGACCAGGGAGGAACCCCTGAAACTCCCACTGCTCTGTCATGGCACCCTGCCTGGGATGGCCACCGTGTGACGTTCATCATTGTGAGCTTTGCCTACTCTAGAACTGCACGTAAGTGGAATTATACAGCGTGTCCCCTCTGTCCAGTCCAGCATTGTTGAATCAGCGTGTGGTCTGAGAGATTCACCTGTGTGGTTGCGTGGCTCTGGAGTGCATCCTTTTACTGTGCCGTGTAGTAGTCCATCATAGAATCTACCAGAAAGTACTAACTGATTCTCCCATTGAGGGCATTTGGTGGGTTCCAGCTTGGGGCCATGGTGAACGAAGCTACTGAAAACACTCTTGTCGGTGTTGTCCTTTGGTAAAATATGGATCCATTTCTCTTGGGTGAATACTGAGGAGAGAGATCGCTGGGTCATAGGGAAGATGTATATTCAGCTTTAGCAGATGCCAGATAGCTTTCCAGAGTGGCTCTACCTCTCTCCCTTCCCACCAGCAATGTAAGAGAATGCACGGGGATTTTTAAAACTGTAAAATTATGTCCTGTGCCCCCAAACTCTCCATGGCTCTTCGTTGACCTCAGAGTAAAGCCTGCAGTCTTCACCCCTGCAGTCTTCCCCCCCACCACCTCTCTCCCTCTCCCCACTGCCATGCTGTCCAGCCACACAGTCTTCTACGATTTCTTTAAAATGCCAAACTCACGATCGCTGCAGACTTTTGCCCTTGGAGTTCCCCCTGCCAGGAACACCCTTCCCCCTCGATCTTCCCGCTACTGGCTCTTCCCTTGCTTGGCTGTCTCTTTCTTGTGCTTCAGGTCTTGGCTCCAATCTCACCTCTTCGGAGAGGTCTTTTCTGAAATCCCTGGCTCACCCCTTTCATGGTCAATACTTCTCTTGATTTGGACTTAGTCGGGTTCTGACATGCGATAGTTTCATAAAAATGACTGGGGCGATTCCCATTGTTTGTGAAGGTCTGAGTTAGTTTAAATAACATTGCACTTGCCTCTTCCTTGAGGTTTGATAAAAGAACCTTTAAGACCATCTGGTCCTGTTGTCCTTTTTTTTTTTTTTTTCCTGTTGTCCTTTTAATGGGAGGTCTCGTGTCACTTTTCTAATCTTCTATGGTCATTGGTCTACTTAAACTTTCTACTTCCTTTGTGGTCAGCTTATTACAGTGGTTGGCACATGGTTGATACTTCATACTGGCTAAGTATGAGGATGTGAAGAAAAAGGGAGGGAGGTGCTGGACCCTCGGCTTCAAATGCCCACCCCCTGCCCATCTGCTCAGGCCCCCATCCAGCCTGTCCACCAAGGCCCAACTACATGCTTCCTCCTCTGAGATGCCTTCTTGGGTTTCTCCTGACCCTCCTTCGCTGCTCCATTCCCAGGTCAATGGGTCCATTTCTCTGCTTCTCTGCTGGGCAGATGTTACAAGCTCTCTGCTTTCTGGCGGGATATCTTTTGGGGGGTGGGGGTGGGGAATGTGTGCACAGAAGAGGCCTCCCCCCTCGTGCCTGGCACATTCAGCATGTGCTGCCACCTCCCCCCAGCAGTTCCGATCACGCCAACATCTGGAGACCAGGCCACCGGGTCTGTCTGCGGCTCAGTGGGGATTTGCATGTGAGTACAAATATATATGCACACCCTGGGCCTTCCGCCTCCGCATTCCTTGGCTGGCCCTTCACACCTGGGCTTGAGACAGGTCAACGCTGAGTGACTGGATTTGCATGCCCATGTATTTCTGGGTAGGGAGTCAGCTGGGGGAGTCTGAGAGGAAGTTGTTGAGGGAAGCTGTGGGGAGTTCAGAGTCTCTCTTGACCTGCTCCATTCACTAAATATGGTTATGAGGGGCTTCCAGTCTGAGGGAGACAGAGCCGGATATACGTACCCCTAGCTCCATGGGGTCAAAACTGGAGGGAAACTTCGGGAGCTGTAGGAATCCAGAGTGAGGGCAGGGAGGGCTTCGTGGAGGAATAAATGTTTTGAGCTGGGTTTTGAAGTGTGAATAGGAGTTGGCCAAGTGAAAAAAGGGCTTTCCAAGCAGAGTCATTTCATTGAAGGTAGATTAAGATGGGCAGGGGTTGATTGGGGCAGGGCCTCAAATGCCAGGCTGGGGACTAGAACTTTCCCCTGAGGGCAGAGGGGAGCCACGGAGAGTGTGTGAGCAGGAAGGGGTATGATCAGAGCTGTGTGTTGGGTAGATCCCTTAAGGGCCAGAATGGAGATGACTTTGGTTCTTGGGTGAGGATTGGGGGTTTCAGGATCACAAGACTCAGAAGAGTCAAAGCCCTGCATAAGCCCACCGGCATCTGTCAGGCCTGGCCCCAGAGAGGCCATAGGGTCTGGTGGCATCCGGAGGAACCAAAGACCCCTGGAGCACAGTGACTTAAAGCGTATGATGCCAGCCTAGGACAGAGGGGGCCTCACCCCCTGCCTCTGCCCAGATGGACACAGCCCTGGTCTACTCCTCAAGTCTCCTGCCGTCTCTAGCCCGGCTTCCAACAGTCCTGCTGCTCTCCATGGCAGCTGTGGCTAAAGTTTTTAAATGATAAATCAAACCTCCATCCCTTTTTGCTGAGAACCCTCTCAGGGCCCTCTGTCACTCTTAGACCAAAACCCACAGTCCTCCTCACAGCTCAGAGGACCCAGAGAGGCCCTGCGTCTGTGGCCTCTCCTCCTGGCCTCCTTGTTAGTGTGTCCTTCAGGGCCTTTGCTCTTGCTTCTACATGGAACTCACTTCCTGTCTCCGCTTTTGAGTCTCAGTGCAGAGAGACCCCCACCCCCCCGCCAACCCCGGCCTTCTGGCTCTTGGGGCTCCCTCGTCATGTGAACTCTGCCCTGGCCAGGACGTCCTTGTCTAAACTGGGGACGGAGAGGAAAGGGTCCAGTTTGAAAAGGGTCAAGATTCGAATCTTCCAGGCCCGGAGACTCACGGCTAAGTCCCTTGTTCCCATGGGACCCCAGGCACGGGGGCATTTCCGGAGCCACCTTGGCACCAGGACCTCCGGACCAGTGCCCCCCTCCGGTCCCCAGGGACCTGTCAGGGCGGGGGCAACATGTCCCAGTCGTGGGAACGCACCCGATTCCGGCCGGGGATTAAAATTAGCCTGGGAAGTTAAATTTAGCAAGTCAAGTTGGAGCTAGGGGGCCGGGGCTGGGGCTCCCATGGGTCCTGGCTCTGCATAGTTGTGACTACTCAGAGACACAGACCAGAGAGAGTGGAGGGCACACCTAGGGTCACACAGCAGGCCGCATATGACAGTGTCTAACATTCCTGGGCCCTGGGACTCTGAGGGTCCTGCCCAAACTCCTGAGACTGGAATCTGGGAAGCAGGTATGGCTGCTCCTGGAGATGGACCCACATTTTCCTCCACTTCCCAAGAGCTCATTCCCAGGCCTTGTATCAGGTGCTCTGCATTTTATACCCAGCCCAACCACAGAACAGCAAACTGAGGCCTAGGGAGAGGCCTCCCTTGCTGAGGACTGCCAAGTGGGTCAGAGGCTGTCTGGGACCTGAGCACAGGCCCACCTACCTGACCCCGGGCACGCCACTCACCTGAAGCCTCAGTCACCCGTGACATGAGAGGGGCTGGGAGGTCATGTGGTCATAGAGTTGGTGGAGGGGGTCTTGGATGCCGTGGAGTGGCTGTAGAGTGGGGTGAGTGCCCCACTATGGGCAATGTGACTCCTTTGTTCCCAGCACCCCTGCTGAATGGGGAGCACTGGGGAAGGCCTACCCATTCTCACCCTTGAGCACCCCTCCAGGGAGATCCAAGGTCCTCATGAGAACGTTCCAAGGTTTCTCTCAAGCAGAACTCGGGCCCAAACCCTTGTCTGGGCTCCAAACTTGAGGTCTTTTCTGGTTGTCCAGACCTCCTCCCACCTGTTACATATAAATCAATGAATAAATAAATAATTTTTTTTTTTTTTTAAGAAAGAGAGAGAGTGAGAGAGACAGCAGCAGAGGGGCAGAGGGAGAAGGAGAAAGAGAGAATCTTAAGCAGATTCTATGCCCAGGACGTAGGGCTCAGTTTCACGACCATGAGATCATGACGTGGGCTGAAATAAAAAATTGGGCACTTAACCGACTAAGTCACCCAGGCACCCCAACCTGTTATTCTTTTAAGAATAAGAGAGGGGAGGGGCGCCTGGGTGGCGCAGTCGGTTAAGCGTCCGACTTCAGCCAGGTCACGATCTCGCGGTCCGTGAGTTCGAGCCCCGCGTCGGGCTCTGGGCTGATGGCTCAGAGCCTGGAGCCTGTTTCCGATTCTGTGTCTCCCTCTCTCTCTGCCCCTCCCCCGTTCATGCTCTGTCTCTCTCTGTCCCAAAAATAAATAAAAAACGTTGAAAAAAATTAAAAAAAAAAAAAGAATAAGAGAGGGGAAAGTTAGAAAATTCAGAAAATCAAAAAGGGAAGAAAAAAGACACCAAAGGCCACACATTGCATGATTCCATTTACATGAAATGTCCAGAACAGGCAAATCCATACAGACAGAAAGTAGATTAGTGCTTGACAGGGGCTGGGGGAGGGACATGGGGAGTGAGTGCTAATAGGCATGGGGTCTCCTTTTGGGGGATCAAAAATTTCTGGAACCACCTGGAGGTGGTGGTTGCGCAACACTGTGAATGCACTAAATGCCACTGAATTGCACACTTTAGAAGGTATTTTTCTTTCAATGTTTATTTTTGAGAGAGAGAGAGAGAGCATGGGCAAGGGAGGGGCAGAGAGAGGGGGACAGAGGATCGGAAGCAGGCTCTTCTCTGACAGCAGCGAGCCTGATGCAGGGTTCAAACTCACAAACCATGAGATCATGACCTGAGCTGAAGTTGGATGCTCAACCGAGTGAGCCACCCAGGTGCCCCTAGAAGGAACTTTTTTTAAAAATTTATTTATTTATTTTGAGAGCGCGAGAGAGAGAGCACACACAAGTGTGGGAGGGGCAGAGAAAGAGGGAAAGAGAGAGAGAGAGAGAGAGAGAGAGAGAGAGAGAGAATCCCAAGAAGGCTCCATGCTCAGTGCAGAGTCCAAAGGGGGCCTTGAACTCACGAATGGTGACATCATGACCTGAGCCGAGATCAAGAGTCAGATGCTTAACCAAGCCACCCAGGTGCCCCTGAACTGCACACTTTAAAATGGTTAATTTTAGGTTGTGTGATCGCATGTCAACTTTTTAAAAAAGGAGGGAAAATTCACCCATAAATTTCCACCCAGCAGTGACTCCTATCTTGTGTATTTCCTTCTAGTCTTTTTTCTACTCTCAGTGCAATGTTTAAATATGTGTTTACTTGTAACCACAGCCCTCAATCTTGTTTGTTGGGGAGCTGTTATAGGATTGAATGAGTTAAAGGTGTCCAACGTGGGGACCAGGCTTTCTTCCAGTGGCTCAGGGTTAGTGATTCAGTGAACAATGTATCCTTAGAGCCATCAGATATCAGTATCGGAGGTCCCTCCAACCTGGCCTGTCAAGGGCTTTTAGGCTGTTGCCAGTATTCGTAATAGCGGTGCATATGTGGCACCTGTGTGTCGGGCAGATCTGAATGCCTCACATGGGCTACTTTATTTTATCTCCTGACAACACTGGGCTGATCATGACACTGTTATCCCCACTGCACACACAGGGGGGCGTAGAGAGGTCAGGCTCCCTGGAGGTCCTACAATTACCAGCTTGTTGTGTTTTAGAGGTAGGGGCGGGGCATCTGTAACTCTTCTCTCTCTCTCTCTCTCTCTCTCTCTCTCTCTCTCTCTCTCTTTTTTTAAGAGGGATAACTTTCAGGGCGCCTGGGTGTCTCAGTTGGTTAAGTGTCCAACTCTTGATTTCGGCTCGGGTGGGATCTCACAATTTCGTGAGTTTGAGCCCCGTGTCAGGATCCGTGCTGATGGTGTGGAGCCTGCTTGGGATTCTCTGTCTCCCTCTCTCTCTGTCCCTCCCCTACTTGTGCTGACTCTGTCTCTCTCTAAATAAATAAACTTCAGGGGCACCTGGGTGGCTCAGTCGGTTAAGCGTCCGACTTCGGCTCAGGTCATGATCTCACGGTCCGTGAGTTCGAGCCCCGTGTCGGGCTCTGTGCTGACAGCTCGGAGCCTGTAGCCTGTTTCGGATTCTATGTCTCCCTGTCTCTCTCTGACCCTCCCCCGTTCATGCTCTGTCTCTCTCTGTCTCAAAAGTAAATAAACGTTAAAATAAATAAATAAATAAATAAACTTCAAAGTTGTTTTTTTTTTTTAAAGAGGATAACTTTCTCTTTTTTAATTTTTAAAATATTTATTCTTTTTTGACAGAGAGAGAGCATGCGCACAGGTGGGGGAGAGGCAGAGAGAGACAGGGGGACAGAGGATCCAAAGCGGGCTCCTTGCTGACAGCAGAGAGCCCGATGTGGGGCTCGAACTCATGAACTATGAGATCATGACCTGAGCCAAAGTCAGACACTCAACCAACTGAGCCACCCAGGCGCCCCTGTGCCTCTATCTTTTGCCCTTGGTCAGCCTTCTCTTCGTGTGGAGTTGGTCCAAAGGTGTTCACTGAGCATGTACTCTATCCTGGGCTGGTTGAGGGTGGGGGCTGTGGAGGTGACCCAGCCTGCCTTGATTTCCCCCAACGTCTTCCCCTCAGTGCTTGGCGGATGCAGGTGGAAGACAGAGGGGAGGCTGGATGCCTGGTCTCACTCTCTCCTGTACCCACTCTGTCCTCTTTTCCTTCCCCCCAAGGCCAAGTTCTCTCCACCAAGCCCGGGACAATGGGGAGGAAAAAAATCCAGATCTCACGCATTCTGGACCAAAGGAATCGGCAGGTGAGTTCAGTGGGTACAACAGTGGTCAGGGGAAAGGCATTCTTGGCAGTGGATACAGCCTGGGCAAAGGCATGGCCATCTGGGGGAGCTACAGGGGATTGGGGAAACTTGATGTGGTGTCCGCAGTTTGAAATGTAGCATTTGCTCATTTTCATGATGGTTTATTCATTTATTCTCCCTGATGACTGAAGCCCCAGTCATAGGAGAGATGGAGCTGGACACAAACACACCCAACGCACAGGGCTGGTCCAGAGGGAGGCACAGACCTGAGGAAGCTCAGAGAGAGAATGTAGGCTCTGTCCTAGAGACCAAGGAAAACTTCCCAAAAGGAGAGGACATTTGGGCTGGGTCTTTGAAGCACCAGTAGGAGTTTGCCAGGTTGAGGGGCGCCTGGGTGGCGCAGGCGGGTGAGCTTCTGACTCTTGATTTCAGCTCAGGTCATGATCCCAGGGTCATGGGATCGAGCCCTGCATCGATCGAGCTCTGCATCAGTCGAGCTCTGCACTGAGCCTGGAGGCTGCTTATTAAGTTCTCTCTCTCTCCCACTGCCCCTGTCCCCACCTCGTGTGCTCTCTCTATGAATAAATAAATAAGTAAATAAAAATTTTAAAAACTAGGAGTTTGTCAGGTTGAGAAGTGTGAAAGAGGGAGCAGGTGCCAGGCACGGGATCATCAGGCCTGCTCAGGGAGTAGTGAGGCCCCTCTGTCTCCCCCGTGCCACCCCAAATCCATGTCTTCTCCCACTCTGCCTGTGGGTCCTGGGTCCAGGTGACATTTACCAAGCGGAAGTTTGGGCTGATGAAGAAGGCCTATGAGCTGAGCGTGCTCTGCGACTGTGAAATCGCCCTCATCATCTTCAACAGCGCCAATCGCCTCTTCCAGTATGCCAGCACAGACATGGACCGCGTGCTCCTGAAGTACACGGAGTACAGTGAGCCCCACGAGAGCCGCACCAACACCGATATCCTCGAGGTACCCTTGGGGCCCTCCTCCCCAGCGCCCTGAGGTCCAGCTCACTGTGCTCGCTCGGAGCCTGGGGACTCTTGGTTTGCACAATAGATGAGTGTTGCAAATTGGCTTTACTGCCGGTAAAAGCAGGTGCAAGGTCATGTAGGGTCCCTCCCAGGGTCGGCTGCCTGAAGAGTAGAAATAAAAACATCAGTCGCTGTGCACCGAGGGCTGCGCTGTGTCTCTTTCGCACATCATCTCATTTAATCCTGTCACCTGTTTGGGGTGTCCAGAAACAGAACTGAAAGGACACATTGAGTGTCCCAGTGTCCCAGTGAGCAAGCCCACCTCACTGAAGTCCAGGAGTGTTTTTGTCTGAGCTGCTGGGTCCTCAGGAGAAAGAGGCAGAAGCAGCCTGCACACTAGCGGATGGTCAAGATCACTGTCCCTGTGGATATGGGAATTTGTATGCAAGTTGGGAAGCTAAAGCCACAGAGCTGGAGAGACCAGCAGGCCTAGGACGGCGCCTGGGGACCCCTAATGTTTCAGGAGGGTGAGGAGAAGCTGTCAAAGGAGAGGCAGGGGTCCAGGAATGGGCAGGTCCAGGAGGAAGCAGCTCAGGAAGGCCTATCAAGTTGTCCTCAGGTGCTCAGTCTGCCAGCATTTATTAAACACCTACTGCACTCCAGGCCCCGACGCTGCACGTGAGTGCAGAACAGAAGCACCCGGGTCATATTCAGGAGGAGTGTTAGGACAGTGCCAGCAGGTCCTGGTGGATCTCAGCCCCCACCGTGTAACCTGGGCCTCTCTGGAATTGACTGGGTGATCAGGCACTCGGGTTTTGGCCAATGGGATCTGGCTGGAACAGGCTGTGCCTGCACTCCTGTCCACCCACAGAGCTGGATGGGTAGGGCTCTCCCCTCTCCTCTAGAACCAGGTTCCCTGGCTAGGCTGGAGGGAGAGTCACCCTATTGTCTCCTCTTTCTACAGACACTGAAGCGGAGAGGTGTGGGCCTCGATGGACCAGAGCTGGAGCCAGATGAGGGGCCTGAGGGGCCAGGAGAGAAGGTGCGGAGGTTGGCAGGTGATGGGGGTGACCCAGCCTTGCCCCGGCCCCGGCTCTATGTAAGTGACTCCCTGTGCCACTATGAAGGGGCCCTCCCTCACCTCCTAGGCCCAAGTGGTTAGGGCTGAGACTAAGACAGGGACCTAAGGCCAAGAAGCCTAGAGTCTGGAAGCAGATCTCTGCCTAGGTGGAAAGGGAAGGCTTTCTGGAGGAGTAGGCATTATAGCTGCAGCTTTGAAGGATGAGTAAGAGTTCAGTGGACAACCATTTCCTTCCCACTGTATTTATTTGATTCATCAAACACTCTGGGAAGCCTCCTCAGTGCCAAGTCTGTGCTGAGTAAGAAGCTTCAGCTCCAGGGGCGCCTGGGTGGCTCAGTCGGTTAAGTGGCTGACTTCAGCTCAGGTCACGATCTCACGGTTCGTGAGTTCGAGCCCCACAATGGGCTCTGTGCTGACAGCTCGGAGCCTGGACCCCGCTTTGGATTCTGTGTCTCCGTCTCTCTCTGCCCCTCCCCTGCTCATGCTCTGTCTCTCTCAACAATAAATAAACATTAATAAAATTAAAAAAAAAAAAAAAAAAAAAAAAAAAAAGAAGCTTCAGCTCTGGGCCTGTCAAGAAGTGACGGCCCCAGACAGTCTCCTTCAGCCCTACGGGGGTAGGCCAGAGGGAGGAGGAGCAAGGCTTCCAGAGGTGGAGACTGGCCCCTGATTTTCTGTCTTGGACTTAATCCCCTCATCTCCACGTGCTTCCAACCAATCCCGTCCTCTCTGCCCTCAGCCAGCAGCCCCTACTATGCCCAGCCCGGACATGGTATATGGGGCCCTGCCCCCACCAGGCTGTGACCCCAGTGGGCTTGGGGAGGCCCTGCCGGCCCAGAGCCGCCCATCCCCTTTCCGGCCAGCAGCCCCCAAAGCTGGGCCCCCAGGTGAGCATGGGGCATAGGCCCTGGGGGAGAAGGAGGTGGGAGTCCCAGGGAGGCTTGTAGGGGGGGATCTTGGCTCTGGCACTGCTTGTCTGTGTGTATCACCTCTGGACCTCAGACTTCATTAGATGACAGGCCACGTGCCCTCTCTCTGGGGTCTCCTGCTCTTCAGGCCTGGCACACCCTCTCTTCTCACCAAGCCACCTTGCCAACAAGACGCCACCACCCCTGTACCTGGCAGCAGATGGGCGGAGGCCGGACCTGCCTGGTGGCCTGGCGGGGGCCCGAGGGGGACTGAGCACCTCAGTGAGTGAGGGGAAGGTATGGCAGGGCTGATGGGGGAAGACAAGATGACCTGGGGTGTGGGCCTCAGTTTCCCCTTTTCCCTGTCTCCCCACAGAGAGGCCTCTATGGTAGCCTACAGAGTCCATGCTCTGCCACAGCTCCGGGACCCCCACTGGGGAGTTTCCCCTTTCTCCCCGCAGGCCCCCCAGGTATGCACCCTCTACTTGCCCTGCCGTGGGAGACATCCTTACCCCCGCTGGGGGGTGGGTGTCAACATTTCCCCACCCGCCAGAACTCTGAACTGGTGGGCGGGATAGGTCAGACTTGGCTGGGCAAGGGCTCCCTGAGGTCAGGGCCTCAGTTTATTCCTCCTACCCCCTAGAATATAGCCTGGGAGACCCCCCGCCGCCCCCTGGCCTGCTGCAGCCCCCCACCCTGGCTCCCTGGCAGCACTCGAGGGGTGATGGGCCCCCAGCCGCTCCTCCCCAGCCCAGGTAAGTACCCTAACTGCCTCTCCTCTCTTCCCTCCCCAATTCGGGTCGCTGTGGGGGTCGCTCCGTCTTCTGAAGCCCCTGGCCAAAGCTGACCCCTGGTGGCCACTTCTGGTTCTACACTCAGCCCCTCCCGACGGTTCTTGCTCAGGATGGGTGGCTATTTTGGAAGCCCCAAGAGGGATCGCCACCCACTCCTTTCCCAAGGTCCTCCTGCCGAGCCTTTGCCCACGCCGTGCCACCTCCCTGGCTTTCCTCCCTTCCTCGCTGAGCTCATGGCTCTCCTCTCTCTCTCTCCCTGCAGTGGGGGTCGAAGCCTGGGTGAAGAGGGTCCCCCCACCCGCGGCGCCTCCCCGCCGACCCCCCCAGTCAGCATCAAGTCCGAGCGCCTCTCGCCAGCCCCCGGGGGCCCCGGCGACTTTCCCAAGACTTTCCCCTACCCCTTGCTCCTGTCCCGGCCCCTGGCAGAGCCCCTACGGCCAGGCCCCCCCCTGCGCCGGCTGCCCACTGCGGACGGCTGGGCCCGGTAGTGGACCCAGGGGTGGCACCGGTCCTTCTTCCCACGCGGGGCTGGGCTAGGGCACGTGGGGTCCCTTCCCCGCATTCCCCGCGTCCTTAGAGAAGACCCAGCAGTTACGACCCTCCGAAGTGAGGGCCTGGCGTTCGGATCCACGGTCGGGGGGGGGGGGGGGCTCCTTTCTCCCTTTCCTGTGTGTGTATCCACCAATAAAACACTTCTGGTGTCCGTGGACGAAACTATCTGTCTGTCGCTGCTCAGAGCCACCACCACTCCCGGGTCCTCCCATCTTTTCCCAAGAGACTTCAGCCTTGCCTTGTCTCGGTTTGGGAGATGAGAATCCTACCCTGAGACAAGGTTTCGAGGATGGGTGTCCAGGCACCCCGAGGTGGTCTCAGTGGGATGTTTATAACATGCAGATTTGATCCCTGACCTTCCCGAGTTCCCGGACTGCCCCCACCCACTCTATTCCGTCTGCCCCTGTCGCCCACTGTGTCCCCTGCCCTGAGCCCCCCTAGTAATACTTCCAGTCCCAAGACTTGGCTGGGTGAAATGGAGGCAAGGCTGGAGAGGGTCCCTTCTAAGCCTCTGGATCTCACCCTCACTGTGGACAAGAAGTCAGACCTGTCCCTGAAGTCAGTGCCCACAGGTTAAGTGCCCAGTGTGGGGATCATTAAAATGTGGACAGCTTTCAAAGGCTGAGTGGTGAGGCCGGTGGGTGGGGTTCTGTATACCCATCCCAGGAGGCTGCACTTTCTTCATTTTCCATCAGGTGGCACCCAATAGTATGCTTTCGATTCTGTGCTCCCTACTCAAAAATAAAAAATAAAATAGAAATAGTAATAAAAAAAAAAATAAAATTCCGGGACACCTAGGGGGCTCAGTCGGTTAAGCCTCTGACTCTTGGCTTTGGCTCAGATCACGATCTCACGGTTTGTGAGTTTGAGCCCCTCATTGGGTTCTGTGCTGACAGCGTGGAGCCTGCTTGAGATTCTCTCTCTGTCCCTGTCTCTCTGCCCCTCTTCTATGGTCTCTCTCTCTCTCTCAAAATAAATAAAATAAACTTTTAAAAAATAAATAAAATCCCTCTTGGCTTCCAGGGGTTCCACCCCATGTTTTCAGGCTCTGAGCCTGGGGACTCAGAAGGGCTGTGTCACATGTTGTGTGCACATGTGTGGTTTTACATGTACAGCTTGGGGTGACCTGGGCCATGAGAGGTCAGTGAGCAGGCTACCGGCTTCTGGAAACACCTTTGCATCCAGACTCCAGCTCTGCACGTGCTGGCTCTGTGCAGGAGGATACAGGGAGGGTTGTGTGGAACTGTCTTCTGCCACTCTTTGTAAAGACACCATGGTGACGTCAGTCAGGGCCACTGTCACCACCAGAGGGTCACTGAATCTCTCAGGAGCTCAGCCACTGGTTGAAAGCATCATGGGAATTGTGGCCTAGAGAATGTGGATTCACCTAATGGGGAACAGAGAACAAGGAACATCCAATGGAGAACAGACCACATGTGCATCCAACGTAGAATAAAGAGTGAGGAGTGTCTGTTTCATTTTCATTTTTAAATGTTTTGTTTATTTTTGAGAGAGACAGAGTGTGAGTGGGGGAGGGGCAGAGAGAGAGAGGGAGACACAGAATCTGAAGCAGGCTCCAGGCTCCGAGCTGTCAGCACAGAGTCCGATGTGGGGTTCAGCCCCACAAGCCGTGAGACCGTGACCTGAGCCGAGGTTGGACACGCAACCGACTGAGCCACCGAGGCGCCCCAGTAGTGCCTGTTTTAGGACAGAGGAGGGACGTTATCTGGCTCTAGTGTTAAGAGGCACTCTCAAGCTGCTCAGGGAAAAATAGACTGTTGGGGGTGAGGTAGAGGATGGTGGATGGAAGATGAGGACCCCCTGAGGTCCAGGATGTGTGGGAGTTTCCTGTAGTTCACTGCCTAGGGGGCGCTGTGACACCTAAACTCATAAGCCCTGGATCCAGGGGGAGAGGACAAGGTGTGACGTAGAGATTTGGGCCTCCCAGAGCCTCGGTATCTTCATCAATAAAATGGAGACAATTGTCCTGCCACCTCAGCCTACTAGAGGGGGCGCATGAGTAAACCACCCCACCTCCCCAGCCTGGCGTGCAGTGCACCTGCATGAAATACCCCTCCCTCCTCTCCCCCTTTCCTCACACCCTCCCTAAATCCCAGCTTTCCTGCATCCTTCGTGGATTCATAAATCAGCTCATGGCCCCCATGTCGGTCCAGGGAAGTCCTATGACCCTCACCACCACTGTCACCCATCCTTTCTCAAGAGGCCCCTCTCTGTGTCCAGAGGACTGAAGCCACAGTGAATCCCCTCCAAACAGACATCCATACATGCTCATAAACAAAGACAAAAACATCCAGGGACAAGGTAATCAACTATACAGGTCCCATTCACGGGCCTCATAAAAACCCTCAGACATCTAATCACACCCCCATGTATGTCAGGCAGACACACGTATCCATAAAAACACAGATGCAAAACTTAGGTTCCCAGACTATCAGCCTTTTTCCTCCAAGCCTTGAAACACAAAGCATCAGATTCTTTTCAAGAGAGAGAGAGAGAGAGAGAGAGAGAGAGAGAGAGAGAGCATGTGTGAG